ATATATATATATATATATATATATATATATATATATATATATATATATATATATATATATATATATAATGCTGCCATGCTGTTCTGATCTTTTTTGTGAAGTGATTAATTCATCGGTTTAGGAGTATAAGTGCCAGTTTTGTCGTGGAACCATATCTGGAAATCGCCCTTCAAGTGATGTTGTGCTTGCTAAACAGCCTGAGATTCGATTGCATGGCTGCAGTTACTACAAGGTGACAAAAGTTTGCTATGCTTTGAGCTAGAAGGCTTAACAAAAATTTGCAATATTTGAGTTTTTCGTATCACTCATACCTATTAGGGCTTCATAATTGAATACAAACTTTCAATTTTAACTGGTAATGTCCAAACTGCTAAACTGAAACTTGGCTTGCAGGCGCTCATGAATAATCGCTCCATACAAGTGCGGCTAAATGAAACAGTGCATGTCAAAAGAACGGCGGGCGATGATGTAGGGATTTCAGGATTTCTAGTTGGATTAAGAGATTTTCATAGCCTTTCGAATATTTCTATTCCAGCATAAAAAAATCCTGAAGAAGTTGATGGATGTCAGCGAAAAGAAGAAGAAAAATGGTGAAGAAGAGAAGTTTGAAGACATACCACCTGCCAATAATGAACCATTGCCGCTTGAGATGTTCCACAGAAAGGTCTATATTTGACTCTTTTATTAATCGTCTCCAAATTTAATAAATATGATGTGATCGGGTTCTTATTCCAGGACTTACGCGTGTTCCGAGTTGAACGACTGTTTACGGCACCAGGTGGACATCGTTTCATATTCGGCTTTTACTACGCTCGACCACATGAAACATTTTGTGATTCACAGAGGATATTTCACAGAAATGAGGTATTTCTTCAAATTTGAAGCAAGGGAATAAAGGGTGACGGGAGCGGAAGTCTTTTATCTCATCTTCACCTTTTCAATCGTTTATAGTAGAACATATAATTACATGTCAAATTATATTATCATTGAAGGTGTTTGCCACTCCGCTGTACGACACACTTCCATTAGATGCTGTTGTGGGAAGGTGTGCTGTACTGGATCCATCGGTGTGGTGCATAGGAAGACCAACAGTGCCAGAGTTCAAAGTGAGGGTTTAAGAGTTGTTTATATGGTTTTACCTCTTCTCGAACTCTTTTGTTAACAATGCTTTATTTCTAGGCAAATTTAAACTGACTTATTTGGAAGCCATGACATCGCAGTGCTTAATCTTTCTTCGCATATTTAGAGATTTTCAAGTGAAAAGGCGCATATTTTTTTAAAATAGAGTGGAAGTTGTTTCTTACCTTTTCAAGTAGTCTTGGAAACCATTTGTAACTATTTTTGTGCCAGCGCTTTCAATCTCTCAACAAAATTATTTTCTAAATTTTAAATCATATCCTTATATAGGAGGCCGACGTATACTTGTGTGAATACCAAATCGATCGCAATCAACGTAGCTTTGAAAAGATTCCAAGCAAGAACCGATATCCGATCAACACTCAGCCCTATGTCTTCCGAAAGTTTGACGAGCCAATCACGATCAAGAGAGATTTTACAGTGAGCTTTGATTCTCTAAAGATGTTATATATATGTTTCTGATTGTGATATCATAATTTTAGCCCTTCATTGTTGACCCTGCCAATTCGCCGCCAGTCAAATCATCAGCGAAATTTGAAAAGGATGCTTTGGAAGCTGCGGTTCTAAAAAAATTAGTGAGTTTTCAAGAATTTTCGCAAAGGTGGATTTTTTCGCCACATCTGCTTATTATTTCTTTTTAGAAAATTCATAATCTCGACGCAATCGTAGGGAAACTCTGTTACTCGGAGAGAAATAGAGTAACGTCGAGCAGAGATGGAGAAAAGAAAGAAAAGAGGCATCGAAAAGTCAATGCCAAGTGATTTTCCGGTTGAGTGCAAGCTCCAAATGGATGCTTGATGTTGTGATAGGGAGTTCTCTCAATTCCCATAATCAGGTCTCTTGTCCCGGTTTTTTGTGTTTTTCTGCATTTCATTGTTTTTCCTACTAAATCGTAGCGCCAATAGTGGGGTTGTTTGGAGCATAGAGTTCGCTCGTAAGCTCCCATTATTGGATCTGCTACCTTCTTTCATTTGAAGCTTAGAAGAGATATATCAAGATAGTATTACTTTCAAAAACCAGCAAATGTTAAGTTCGCAATTTATCTCTTTTCTTTGTTTATATTTTCGCAGTGACAATTCAGGATTTTTTGTGAACTTAGCATTTTCCTTTGTCATTTTCTTCGCAACGGTTATATGGCCTATTCCGGTGCATTTACATCATTCTAACTATCTTTCAACTATCTCTCATCCTCTTCATCTTTTCTATACTCATTTTCTAACTTAACAACTCGATGCTGTCTGGTTGGAGTCCATCTTGTTTCTAGTGAAAAGGAATATCAATTACTGAGCATTCTTCAAGAAAAAACGGGGTGTGGGACTTATTCAGGAGTCGCGTTTCATAGCTTCGAGGAAACTTTCACTAATGCCATCATCCGAAAAGGATTTTTGCTCGTTCCCTTTTAAACATCGATTTGGAGGGTACAAGTGTGCCATGCATATT